ATTTAATATATCTCTGAGGAAATACTTATTGATTAACTTTGTATTGTTTAATGACTTTCTTATTCCTATTGGATTATTGCCTAAATGCAATTCATTAAGTTTAACAATTATTAAAACTTCATTTGATTCTCAAAGTACCAGCAATCCTCTCCTTTCTTAAAGCTACAGTATTGATACTTTAAAGATTCTCCGCTTCTTCACTATTGTAATTAGAAGTTTTACAAGCTGCAGTTGAGTTCCAATCCAAATCACCCAAGTAGCGTAACACATTTTGAATCTGGAACGGCGGCGATAGAGCTCCGTTGATCCGCATCCTGGCACTCGGGTGTGTGTATAGCGATGTAATCCATGCCATTAGGTAGGGGCCAAACCCCATCATCTCCAAGGTGGCTGTCATGTACTGCCAGTCCACGCGGTCAAACGCCTTCTCCGCATCGGTGGAGAGGAGAAGGGTCTGCTGTTTCCGTCTCTCCGCCGCATGGATGACGTTCAATGCCCTGGTGGAATTGTCCCTCACTTCCCTCCCAGGGATGAAGCCCACCTGGTCCGGGTCCACCAGTTCCGGGAGGATCCCCCTCAGACGTGTGGCCAGGACCTTGGTGAACAGCTTTAAGTCTGCATTCAGGAGGGATATCGGTCTATAACTTGCGCAGTTCGTGGGGTCCCTCCTTGTGACGAAGTGCCCTTCGCCACTTGTGCCTGGAGAGGACTGCTTGCCCGCCTCTTGCCCTGTGACTATGGACCCTGGGAGATTTGGCCCGTTCAATTCAGAGGGATAGGAGTTATGTATTTTTGTATACTTTTGTGTTTTACTGGGAACATGTGCTCAATGGAGTCTGCTTCTATCCCTGGATAATTGGATTACTTTCCCCATTGTCTCCAGGCTAGAGGGCTCTGTAAAACCAGTTTGGGCCAGATATCCATGCTGCCAGCCAGGCCCCAAAAGATATTTTACTAACTTCTTAACCCCTGGTCTGATTCATGCCATTTTTTGATATGTTGTTTCCCTGAATGGATTTATTGTAAATATATATTTTTTATGTGAATGTAATGTATATTTTAGAAGTTATGAATATGCTGTTAAAACTGTATTATTTCTGGCCAGCAGATAATTGAGCTTTGTGTATTGTAGAAACTCAATTATCTAGCCTGGCCCAGAGGAAGAGTTTTGTGTTGCATAAATTGTGAGTTCTGTGTGCCAGTAAATCAGTCTTGTTCCAGCATCAAGCCTTGGCTAATGTTTGGGGGATTGGAGAAATACACTCTGGGGATTGCTATAATCACTATACTCCCCAGGGTATGATCACTAAGTTCTGCTAAGAGCTTGTTCCTGTTCCTGCTCTCTGGGTAAAGAGAGGTTCACCCACTGGAAGCTGGATCCTGGCTTTGGGTCCAGGGTGTGTGGAGACAGCAGAGACCCCAGCGCAGTTGCTTCGCTGGAAGTGTGGTCTGCAGTGCTGATGGTGTCGGTTGGAGTGCTTGGAGTCCTCAGCGAGCACTAGGAGCATCGATTGGCGGAGGTACTCAGTCGGAGTGCCAGCGGTCCATCACACTCCTCTCCTTCGGTATTACTGCCACAGTTGCCATTAGGGAGTCTCTGGGGAACGCGCCCCCTTCTCGTATAGTTTATGCCCTTCAGAAATTGCGGCATGAGCACATCTCTGAACTCCCTAAGGTAATGGACCGGGGCTTTGTTCAATTTGGAGGACTTCAGGGCTGCCTGTAGTTCTGTGAGAGTGATGGGTGCCTCTAACTCAGCCGCTTCCGTGTCGCTCAGGGTCTTCTCTACATGCTGTTGTACATAAGCCGTTCTTCATTAGGGCTTTCCTTCCGCTGGAGGTTATACAAGTCTGCATAGTATTTATGGAATTCTTCCGTGATTTTATCCGGTAGTTGGGTTGCCGGGCCCCCTTTGGGCTTAATTTTGGTGATATGGCTCATGCGCCGTTGTTTTGGAGTGTTCTAGCAAAGAGCCGACCGCATTTATTCGAATATTCATAAAAGAAGCGGCTAGATTTGCGAATCGTGTGTTGTAGCTTTTGTGTTAGGAGGTCTCTAAGAGTTCTCCTAGTTTCCAGTAGGGCTCTGTAGCTGTCGTCCGTCTGGGCTGTTTTGTGTTTGCCCTCCAGCTCCACAAGCCTCTGGGTCAGGTCTGCCATTTGTCTCTGTTGCTCTCTTTTCCTCTGCGTGCAGACCCTGATGAGGTGTCCCCAGACAACGCACTTGTGGGCCTCCCAGATGGTCAGCGGTGGAATATCCGGCTTATCATTCTCTCCAAAATACGCGGTGATAGCGGTGCGTAGGTCTGCTACCACCGGTGTCTCCAGCAGGATGGATTCGTTCATCCTCCGGTGTCGTTCTCTGGGTCGGAACAGGGGGGATTTGATGTGGGTCGAGATCGGTGCGTGGTCCAACCATCCCATCGTTTTTATGTCCGCCGATTCAAGTATGGGGAGGAACTCCTGGGCAAGTAGGATATAGTCCAATCTACTATACCGCTGGTGTACAACTGAAAAATAGGAGTAATCTCTATCCGTCGGGTGCAGGACCTGCCAGCAATCCATGAGGCCCGCTTTCCGCAATGCCTCTCTTACTTTTCCCAGGCCGTGGGGTGAGAGCAAGCTAACGCCTCTGGATGTGTCCAGTCGTGGTTCCAGGGCCACAGTCAGGTCTCCTGCCACCAAGAGCAGGCCTTCTCAGAATCGCTCAAGCCTAGTCAGGGTTCTCTTCAGGAAACGGTGTTGGGGGCGTATATACTAGCAAACGTGTATTTGGTGTCCACTAATGTGCCCTTAATGAATAGGTAGAATCCCATGGAGTCACCACAGGTCTCGGTGCATCGGAACAGGACAGTTTTCGCAAGTAAGATTGCTACCCCAGCCTTCTTGGCTGAGGTGTGGTTCGCAAAATATCCTGTGGGGTATCTCGAGTTCCGGAGGGCCGGTCCTGCACTCCCCTGGAAGTGCGTCTCCTAAAGCATCGCAACGGAGACCCGGGAGGCCCACACGGAGCCCAAGAGGTGCGACCTCCACTCGGGGGTGTTCAGACCCGTACGTTCTGCGACCAGACGTGGAGCACAGCCGGAGCATACCCCGATCCGGGACCACAGGGCCGCAGGCACCCCGGTCCGGCGGGGGGAGGTGGGGAGCCCGCCCCTGCTGCTGCCACCCCCTCAGGAGGTGGTCCCCACCCCTCCACCACAGTAATGTAGGCACCTGTCACTTGGGGTGCACGCTGTCGAGTACAGCACTATTTTCGTGCCTAAGCACGCGTTAACTAAGTTGTCTGCTAACTTCTGTGTACAAGGAACCTAACTTAGAGGTAACGTAAAACAGATACTAGTAAAGAATTCAACTAGGTTGTCAGAGTTCTCGTCTCCCCGGCCAGTTGGCATGTTTAACACTATGGTGCGTTGGTCATTTGGCATCTCTGCTGGTCTGTCCATGTGATGGTATGGCTTTTCGGGTGTGGGCGGTGTGTCTTTGTGGCGAGCGGTGAGTGGCTCAGTGCGTGTGGGTCTGCTGTCCATGGGTCAGAACCGGTCAGCCTGAGGGACAAGCCCCTCGGTCTTTCGTCCACCTGGGTGCAAGGGGTCCAGGATTCGTTGTAGTGGCTTTTAAGTGGACGTCTGGCCTAGTGGGAACACTGTCAAAAGGTTTCGGGTCTCCGTGGGTGCCTATTGGGGCGCTATCCGGGCCTAGTGTCTGGGGTCTCAACCTCTGTCTCTCCCATCAGGTTGACTTGATGCTCTCCCTCCCTGTCCCCGTTCCAGACCCCGTCCCCCATCCCCCTGGCCAGTGTCACCCTGTTGTGAGGGGTGTATGTGTTTGCTTGCTGTTGCGCTCCCCTTTCCAAGGGGCTCTCTTGTGAATTGCATGGCCTCACCACTCCACCCCTCAATCCCCCAGTCCCGGAGTACTTTTGGTGCCACGTTCCATGGGTTAGCTGTCCATCGCCCAGGTCCAATACTCCCAGTCTCTGCCCAGTTAGATCTTCAAGTCTCTGGGTGATGAGCCCAACTTCCCTTCCCCCTCCCAAACCTTATAACTGCAGGGATCCCCGGACCCCTCTCCTTTGGGCTTATGTTTGAGTCTCCCAGGTTCAAACTTCCTGTGGTGGTAGGGTGTCCGCTGTATATCCGGGGGCCCCCCTCCCAAAGCGTCCTGTCTCCCCCCCCCCTGTCCCACTGGTCACCCCTGCTTCCACCCCTCTGGTAGGTCACTTACCGATCGCCCGCAGTCCACCCATCTTCATCAGCCATTTATTCTTCCGCCCCTGCTGGGCCACCCCAGCGGCGCTGCTGCGGGGCAGACCTGCCTGCATGCCATGGTGTCCAGGGGGGCCGAGGGTCTCTCCTCGCTGCTAGAGCCTCCTCAGTGATCCAATTCCTGACCTTTACCACCGGCCGGTGTAGGGCTCTGAGGAAGCCCGGTATGTTCTCCGGCCAGCGTGCTGTTACCAAGGTGTTGCCTTGTTTATCCTGGAGGCTGAAGGGGAATCCCCAGCGATACATTAACCGCTTGTCTCGGAGTGCGCCCGTGACCGGGCGGAGTGCTCTTCTAGCGTCGCGTGTCAGCGTGGAGAGGTCTTGGTATAAGGAAATATCTGCTTCCTGGAATCTGATGGTTTGTTTTCCCTTGGTGGCCGTCATGATCCACTCTTTCAGGTCCCCTTCACTGAGGCAACAGATGACATCTCGTGGGCTTCCATCTTGTCGCAGGGGGCCCAATGCTCTATGCGCTCTCACAAGGCGGATCCTCTCTGGTGCTGCGTCTCCCAAAATTTGCTGGAACAGTGCTTCTAGGGTGTTAGTGAGTGGGGCAGTGTCCGCTTCTGGCAGGCCTCTTACTCGTATGTTATTACGCCTGCTCCGGTTCTCTAGGTCTTCCGTCTGCCTCCTAAGCGTTAACAAGGTACCTTGGCGGGTGATTGCCGCCCCTGCGGCATGATGTTGTTGTGTGCAGTCATGGGTTGCGGCTTCCATCTCATCCACCCTGCCTTCAAGCGTCGTCAGGTCCGCGCGGAAGGCCCACCAGTTCCTCACGGAGGGCTGCGCGCAGCTCTTGTGCCAGCTTGCTTGTGTCTGCTTTTGTCAGCATTCTGGCCGAAATCTGGGAGAGTTCATCTGTGAGCTCGCTCGGGGGATCCCCCTCCGTCCGGGACACATCCATGCTTCCCTCTCCCGGCGACGTGGGCGGCATCTTGTCCTCAGGCCACATGTCTCTCACCTCCGCCTGAGAGGCGATATATCCATCGGCCCCGTGTAACAGCGTGGGCAGTCCGCCCATGAGGTGCCGGGTACAGACTGTTTCTTGTTGCGGACCATTCTGATCGATTAGTGTGCTAATTAGCTGCTTTACTACGCCCGGGGGTGCAGAGCTCCGAGATCACGCGCCCTGCACCATGCTCGTCCAGGCCACGCCTCTCTTGTTCACCATTTTTAATCACTTGCAGGTGCTGGGATCTTTTTTGTCTCCTTGAAAGAAAAGGATCTCAGACCATTCATTGATTATAGAGGCTTGAATTGTATCACAATGAAAAATGCTAATTCTGTACCTTTTACAACAGATACAGGGCTCTGCAGAGTTTACCAAATTGTATTTAAGAGGTGCTGAAAACAAAGAATGCAATGAAAGGAAGGTGACTTTGAACACCAGAAGTGGGCATTGCGAATATACTATAATGCCTTAGGATTACATAATGCCCCAATCTTCTTCCAAGAATCGACCAACAATGCACCTAGGAACTAGTTACACTCATTCAGAATTGTCTGTTTGAATAATATTCTGACCTATTCTCTAGATATGATAAAGACCATTTATCAATTAGAAAAATCCCACTATGATCAAGAACAAACGCAGATTCTGGGCTATGTGTTTTTTGTTTTGTTTTTTTTACTGGGTTTTAGATGGGTCCCCAGAAACTAACCACCATCTTGAATTTGGCCCCTACCACATGAGTTAAAAACCATCCAAAGGATTAATTGGTTTGCCATTTTTTATAGGACTTCTCTTCCATTACTGCACTCATCAAGAGCAGGTAGAAGTAAAGCATAGATTCCTGCTGCCCTCAGCCGTTTGATACCTTTTAAAAAAAGGTTTTTATTCAGTCCCTTTTCCAGTACATCCTGAACTTACTTGTTTTTTTTTTTTTTTCAAGAGAAGTTATCAGACTACAGGGCATACTAACATAAAAAAACCATTAAGCTCGGATATGGGAATTCAGCTTACATTTTTATCCCACTGTCACCCCTTAAACCCACAAGCCGTCCACGCACGAGCCGTGGACCGGGGTAGAGGAGCTCCTGTAACCACTCCCTGGTGTGTCAGAAAGTGCTCACTAAGAACACAAAACTGCCTCCTGTCAGAACTGGATTGTGAGGTGTTGTTTTCTTTAAAGCCTCGAACATATGCCACAGATTTCATCAAGGTCCGAGCGGCTATCAACCTGTTGTCTGGATGCATCAAAGTATGGGCTCACCAAATGTTGCAGACAAAGAGTCCTGTCCTTGTCAGCTGGGAATCCTTCAGTACCGCTATGGACTCACAATGCAAGACCACTGTGACCAAGCCAGCTCCACGTACCAAAAAATACCAGATTCTTCGTAACCAAGAAACCCAGTACCACCACTACACCCCAGTGATGTCTCCTTCTGATCCTGTTCCTAGGAAAACTCCTGAGGTATCCTGTGTTCCACTCGACCCTGAGGAACCTATGCAATTAGGACTTGTTCACTGCAAAGTGACACCTGAGGAAAGAGACCGAAGGAGAAGCCATGGCCTATGTTACTACTGTGGAGAAAGAGGGCATTTCATCACACTTTGCCCTGTTCGTCCTCCTAGACCTCCAGCTCTCCGACTGGGTACTTCTTTCCTCCACCCTGTATACACTGCATGCCAGCCTAAAAAGCTACATAGAAGCCGTTATTCTTGCCCATGCTTGGCTTCCACAAGAAAACCCCCTGCTCCAGTGCCGCCTGTATCTACTCCCGAAGTTACTTCCTGTGATACCATCACTACTTCCTGCCCGCCCAAAGAAGATGTACCTGTGGATTGTGCCATTGCTTCTAATGGCACTGCAGTCCGTACAGAAGATCTTGAAATGTTCGAAAAAGCATTGTTAGCCAGGAACATTGCTCCTGCCGAAGTAACGGAAGTACTTACCACCTGCACCCAGATCCTGAAAGATTGTTCTCCAGCCGTACCAGAAGCTGGTACTAAGGAGTCCCATGCTGTAAAGGGATTCCACACTGAGGACTTTGACTATGGGGACTCGCTTGATTCTGACAGTGAACCTGAAGAGGTGTTCTGTTATGACTACAAACCTAATCACACCCGGAGGGTGTTCTTGAAGGGGGGGGGTACTGTCACGGTTCTCGCCACATCAAACAGACGGCTAGACGTGGTCACCCGTGGAGATCCCAACAAGGGACTTGAACCAGGGAACTTCGCAGTCCTGGTCCTGCTTCCTACCTCTGAGCCACAGCAGCTTTTGTATTCTGCAAGTCGTTCCGGTCCTGTTCATCCTGGCTTGTCTATCACTCTGGGGGCTGTACCTTGAATTTGGCTGTGCTGCACCTGACCCTGATCAGACATTAGCAGGGTATTTAAACTCAGCCTCGCCCTGTGATCAGGATCAAGTCTTTGATCCTGTTGTGTGCTTTGTACCAGTGTTCCTGTTGTTTGAACTGCTACTTGTTATTGACCCCGGCTTCTGACTACGTTTACTCTGACCTCTGGCATCCCTTGACTTCGGCTACTCCTCGTTGTTCCTGTCTTCTGGCATCCTTTGACCTCGGCTATCCTTTGACGATCCTGCTGTTTGAGTCCTTGCCTGTCCTGCGACTTGGTACTTCATCCTGCACAGACCCACAGGCCGGGTGAATTCTTACCTGACCACCTTGGCCTGTGGCTATCTGCAAGGGTGAGCAACATATCTGCGCTACAGACTCCCAACCCAGGTAAGACCCTGACACTCTGTTATCCCTGACCTCAGCTTGTTAATGTTAGTCTGTGTATGGTTGCAGACAGTCTAAATAATTTCTCAGTGCTAGCACAGTAACTTTAAGGATCGTTACGCATACCTATCTTGATTCTACCTAGGTCTGTGTGTTAGTCAGGTCAGTTCTTACAGTTCTTAACTTAGGGCAGCTATGCATGCTACTTGCTCAAACACACTAGCTGATGAACACTGTTGTGCAGCTCATATGTACCAAATGGGGGATATGGTTTTGTTTTCAAAAACAATATTCAACTTTGAGTTCCCTCTATGAAGTTGGCCCCTTGCTTTATATGTCCATTCAAGGTCTTTTACAAGATTAAACGGTTGTCTTATGCTCTGGTAGTGCCCAGAAATCTCAAGATCCTAAATGTTTTTCATACCTCTCTGAAAAAAGCTACCTCTCTGCAATTACTATACCACTGTGATCTGTCCGCCTTCTCCTGTAGTGGTTGATGGTTAAGGAGAGTACAAGGTCAAACGCATATTGAATCTAGGTGAACAGTACCATGTCCACTGGAAAGGCAAGGGTCTGGACCAATGTTCCTGGTTGTACATTTCTCATTTCCATGTTCCCAGACTCCTTCTTCAATTTCATAGCCCTGATCTCAATAAACCAAGTGGTTTCTGCCCAATAACCTTTTTTAAAAGAGTAATGTTGCATTACCTACTACCACTCCTCTGTCTCACCATGTTCCATCATCCTCCACTTTGACCACCTATTTAAAGGTGGGTTTTACCTTTCTTTTTGCACTACATTAATCCCAGCAATCCTAAGAACTTGTAATAAGCCATTATCCTTTGTTTTTCTTTTTCTCTATTTTATTTAGATAGGTAACCCTTAGTTCTGTATGTTAGGCTTTACAGCAGGGGTAGGCAACCTACGGCACTAGTGACATGCACGGCACTCGAGGTGTCTTTGCACGGCACTCAAGGCTGCTAGAGCCAAACGCACTCTGGCCTATCAGGAGTCCCAGTAAAACTTCAGATAGCTGCTAATATGAAGAGGTGGTGAAGGACAATCCTCAATTTATGCATTGCAGCACATAGAGGAAGTGATCTCAGATCACTTCCTCCCAGCACTTGTGAATGGGAATCCACACTGTAGTAGAGCAGCCCTCGACAGCTATCGCAGGTCCTGTCCTTGACCTGTACCTGGCCAGCCTGGTCCCCACTGGAACCCACCCACACTGCTAGATATACACAGAAATGCACAATAACCCTCCCCTCATACAAATAATATAAACTGCCCACACACACACACAATCCCCACAAACGCAACACCACTAACAATAGACATACATGCACACCACCCCACATGCAATACCCCAAACAGCCCCCACACACTACCAAACACACAATGTGACCTATCCATCCACACACAATTCCACAAGCAGCCCCCATACACAGCCCACGTTTATATGTATCATACACGATACCACAATCTACTCATGAACATATACAATATAATAGCTCATATACGCACAAATACAACGATACAAAGCAATTACAGTATAAATAACACAAGCAGAATACGGCAGCATACACACCTCAATTTAAAAAAATAGGATCGGCACGCTACGGGACATCACAATCCTATATCGGCACAGTGCTGCTAAAAGGTTGCCTACCCCTGCTTTATAGTATACTGACACTATGATAGAACTATTATAGGGGCATAATGTCACCCTTCTATAAGTATCCTGTGTTCATGAGACACACTAGGAATTGGTATATACAACAATATAACACAACAAATACACCAAAAAGTGAGCACTCAATAAACACTACTTATATATGCAGGGTTAGAGTGTAGTGGAGCACTAGTATCCCATAGACTTCTCTGCTGGAATTAAATAGTAATGCAGGAACAAGAAGTTAATCCAAGATGAACAGCAGCAATAGCAAATAAAACTAGAAAAGTTACAATTTCAGGGGAAATTGTGTGAAGTGTTCTTGCCTCCACCTGTAGTCTACAACTGGAGTGGGCGGAGTAACTGTTATCATTTACATAGCACATTTAATTGCAACGTTGTTGCACAGTTACATTAAACCATACATTTATAAAAACATTAGCAGGTGTTCAAAAGGCCCTGTCTATGACATCACTTGCTGCTGCAGCTTGACACAGGTCAGAGTATTTTGGTGGTTGCCATCTTCAAACAGTCGTATCTTAAAAACTATAACTCCTACAGTGAAGAGCTTTATATTGTGAGAATCACAAGACCCAGACCTACATTTTGATGCATAGTATGTCTCTGAAGTATTAAAATTGAAGGCACAGTCGCAGTTTAGAAATTGCACTTCAAATTTGAGCTTTGCAGAGTGAAGTTTCAATGAATGTCAATGGACGGCGTTGGTTGCAAACAAATGGTCATATTGTGAAAACTATCAGGATTACGGCTTAGCCGTTGACATGTTTAGTGGCAGCAGGGATAGCTGAACGTTTTGATATAAGATTTGTGTAGGTGGGCCTGTAAATAAGGGAGTGGTGACAGTTTAGAAATCATGTCCTGATTTTTCAGCTTTTGGCAGCTCCCACTCTAGCTTTGCCATTCATTCCTATGGGACAAATTGCGCCACAAAAACGACGATATTCCGTGAACCATTCGGCGAAACGTTCCACAAAGTAATAGCAATCCGATCGGGAACAATCTGCACGTTTTGGTAAATTTTGGTCTATGTAGTGTAAAAACTGTGGGAGGAGTTAGGGTGGCAAATTTTGCTATCTTAAGAATAAGAATAACTAGAAAAGCTACAATTTCTGGGGAAATTGTGTGAAGTGTTCTTGCCACCACCAGTAGTCTACAACTGGAGTGGGCGGAGTAACTGTTATCATTTATATAGCACATTTAATTGCAACGTTGTTGCACAGTTACATTAAACCATACATTTATAAAAACATTAGCAGGTGTTCAAAAGGCCCTGTCTATGACATCACTTGCTGCTGCAGCCTGACACAGGTCAGAGTATTTTGGCGGTTGCCATCTTCAAATGGTCATATTTTAAAAACTATACATCCTACAGCGAAGAGCTTTATATTGTGAGAATCACAAGACCCAGACCTACATTTCGATGCATAGTATGTCTCTGAAGTATTAAAAATGAAGGCACAGTCGCAGTTTAGAAATTGCACTTCAAATTTGAGCTTTGTAGAGGGAAGTTTCAATGAATGTCAATGGACGGCGTTAGTTGCAAACAAATGATTAGATTGTGAAAACTATCAGGACTATGGCTTAGCCGTTGACATGTTTAGTGGCAGCAGGGATAGCTGAACGTTTTGATATAAGATTTGTGTAGGTGGGCCTGAAAATAAGGGAGTGGTGGCAGTTTAGAAATCATGTCCTGATTTTTCAGCTTTTGCCAGCTCCCACTCTAGCTTTGCCATTCATTCCTATGGGACAAATTGCGCCACAAAACGACGATATTCCGTGAACCATTCGGCGAAACGTTCCACAAAGTAATAGCAATCCGATCGGGAACAATCTGCACGTTTGGTAAATTTTTGTCTATGTAGTGTAAAAACTGTGGGAGGAGTTAGGGTGGCAAATTTTGCTATAATAATAAGAATAATAATAACTAGAAAAGCTACAATTTCTGGGGAAATTGTGTGAAGTGTTCTTGCCTCCACCTGTAGTCTACAAAAGGAGTGGGTGGAGTAATTTATCATTTACATAGCACATTTAATTGCAACGTTGTTGCACAGTTACATTAAACCATACATTTATAAAAACATTAGTAGGTGTTCAAAAGGCCCTGTCTATGACATCACTTGCTGCTGCAGCTTGACACAGGTCAGAGTATTTTGGCGGTTGCCATCTTCAAACGGTCGTATCTTAAAAACTATAACTCCTACAGTGAAGAGCTTTATATTGTGAGAATCACAAGACCCAGACCTACATTTTGATGCATAGTATGTCTCTGAAGTATTAAAATGAAGGCACAGTCGCAGTTTAGAAATTGCACTTCAAATTTGAGCTTTGCAGAGTGAAGTTTCAATGAAAGTCAATGGACGGCGTTAGTTGCAAACAAATGATTATATTGTGAAAACTATCAGGACTATGGCTTAGCCGTTGACATGTTTAGTGGCAGCAGGGATAGCTGAACGCTTTGATATAAGATTTGTGTAGGTGGGCCTGAAAATAAGGGAGTGGTGGCAGTTTAGAAATCATGTCCTGATTTTTCAGCTTTTGCCAGCTCCCACTCTAGCTTTGCCATTCATTCCTATGGGACAAATTTCGCCACAAGAACGACGATATTCCGTTAACCATTCGGCGAAACGTTCCACAAAGTAATAGCAATCCGATCGGGAACAATCTGCACGTTTTGGTAAATTTTTGTCTATGTAGTGTAAAAACTGTGGGAGGAGATAGGGTGGCAAATTTTGCTATAATAATAATAAGAATAATAATAATAATATATATGTGAGATAACATTAAGTGGTCTTGCTATGCAAGAACACTTAATAACTAGAAAAGCTACAATTTCTGTGGAAATTGTGTGAAGTGTTCTTGCCTCAACCAGTAGTCTAGCACATTCAATTGCAACGTTGTTGCACAGTTACATTACACCATACATTTATAAAAACATTAGCAGGTGTTCAAAACGCCCTGTCTATGACATCACTTGCTGCTGCAGCTTGACACAGGTCAGAGTATTTTGGTGGTTGCCATCTTCAAACGGTCGTATCTTAAAAAACTATAACTCCTACAGCGAAGAGCTTTATATTGTGAGAATCACAAGACCCAGACCTACATTTTGATGCATAGTATGTCTCTGAAGTATTAAAAATGAAGGCACAGTCGCAGTTTAGAAATTGCACTTCAAATTTGAGCTTTGCAGAGTGAAGTTTCAATGAAAGTCAATGGACGGTGTTAGTTGCAAACAAATGATTATATTGTGAAAACTATTAGGACTATGGCTTAGCCGTTGACATGTTTAGTGGCAACAGGGATAGCTGAACGTTTTGATATAAGATTTGTGTAGGTGGGCCTGAAAATAAGTGAGTGGTGGCAGTTTAGAAATCATGTCCTGATTTTTCAGCTTTTGCCAGCTCCCACTCTAGCTTTGCCATTCATTCCTATGGGACAAATTTTGCCACAAGAACGACGATATTCCGTGAACCATTCGGCGAAACGTTCCACAAAGTAATAGCAATCCGATCGGGAACAATCTGCACGCTTTAAAATTTTTTGGCCCTATGCAGTAAAACCGCGGAGGAGTTAGGGTGGCAAATTTGCAATAATAATAATAATAATACACACACACACACAATACCACACACACACAATAATAATACACACACACACACACACAATGTAATAATAATAATAATAATAATAATAACTAGAAAAGCTACAATTTCTGGGGAAATTGTGTGAAGTGTTCTTGCCTCCACCAGTAGTCTACAACTGGAGTGGGCGGAGTAACTGTTATCAATTATATAGCACATTCAATTGCAACGTTGTTGCACAGTTACATTAAACCATACATTTATAAAAAACATTAGCAGGTGTTCAAAATGCTCTGTCTATGACATCACTTGCTGCTGCAGCCTTGACAGGTCAGAGTATTTTGGCGGTTGCCATCTTCAAACTGTCATATTTTAAAAACTATAAATCCTACAGGGAAGAGCTTTATATTGTGAGAATCACAAGACCCAGACCTGCATTTTGATGCATAGTATGTCTCTGAAGTATTAAAAATGAAGGCACAGTCGCAGTTTAGAAATTGCACTTCAAATTTGAGCTTTGTAGAGTGAAGTTTCAATGAATGTCAATGGACGGCGTTAGTTGCAAACAAATGATTATATTGTGAAAACTATCAGGACTACGGCTTAGCCGTTGACATGTTTAGTGGCAGCAGGGATAGCTGAACGTTTTGATATAAGATTTGTGTAGGTGGGCCTGAAAATAAGGGAGTGGTGGCAGTTTAGAAATCATGTCCTGATTTTTCAGCTTTTGCCAGCTCCCACTCTAGCTTTGCCATTCATTCCTATGGGACAAATTTCGCCACAAGAACGACGATATTCCGTGAACCATTCGGCGAAACGTTCCTACAAAGTAATAGCAATCCGATCGGGAACAATCTGCACGTTTTGGTAAATTTTTGTCTATGTAGTGTAAAAACTGTGGGAGGAGTTAGGGTGGCAAATTTTGCTATAATAATAATAATAATAATATATATGTGAGATAACATTAAGTGGTCTTGCTATGCAAGAACACTTAATAATAATAATAATAATTAATACACAATAATAATAATATATATGTGAGATAACATTAAGTGGTCTTATATGCAAGAACACTTAATAATATATATGTGAGATAACATTAAGTGGTCTTGCTATGCAAGAACACTTAATAATAATAATAATATATATGTGAGATAACATTAAGTGGTCTTGCTATGCAAGAACACTTAATAATCCAGTAATATACCATCACGATTCCCAATAACTGGACTACACACAGTATCAGGAGCAGAACTCAAGATTTATTCCACATACTCTGCTTTTAAGCATTTCTCCCATGCAAGGGAGACACCCACAAAGATTATACAGTAAACCAATCATACAAGAGTTACCACCCCCAAATCTCCTCCCCTCAGCATGACACATAATCCCATTATACAGGACACATTTTTCCCTGTTTTCTGGATGTACCCATAATACCAGAGATAAACCCTAAATATCACCCAGATCGGACTAGGGGTTTGGGAGTTATATGGATGTATTCGTATGACCGACCGCCCAGGAGGTAGTAGCCGAAATCAGTTCCACCTATTCTGGCCCTGCGGTCGGTCTCCGTTCGAGGGATAAAATACATGAAAGTAATAGGTTGCATAGACTGGGGTTGGATTCATATGAATCCCCTTGTTCGTGGGGTTCTTTCTACCGAACGGCGGAATGATGGCAGTCTGGAGGTCTCAGCAGTGTTCGCGTAGTCGAGTGTCCGATTTGGGTTCCAGACACTCGACGACCAAACACCGCTGAGCATTCGTATGATAAGATGGCCACCGCCACGTTGTTCGTATGACGAATGGTGGCAACCCAGGGAACACGTAATACTTTTCGTCTAATTATCAATTATGTGGTTGATACATGAATGCGGGAGGTAAATGAGAGGAACACTTCCCTCTAGGGAGGTCTGGTTGTTCGGTAGTGTGTTCGTATGTCGAATGGAGGGTTTTTACCGAACAACCAGACAAATGCTGCATACAGTACATGGATACAAAGGAAATAAAGCTAAAATTAACATTGTAGCCATAATACCTCGGGACAGCCCAATACAATTTGCTACATAGAGTTTGTCTGCAGAGATCGTAAATGAATTTAAAACAAACAGACATTGTATTCTCTGTATGGAACCTGTGAAAAATGGAATAAAAGGAATAAAACTCACAAGTGTAAAGCTATATAAGGATCTATAGAATGTGACCCAAGATGCCTCTTCGGGCTTGGATATCCAGAAAAGTCAGGGATGTAGGAATCCCCAGGATAAAAACTTATTTGTTGAACAAATAAATAAATTAAATAACACTAACCAAAAACTGACTATGCCAATTCTGGTAAAAACCCACTAGCAGTAGGAGCTTTTTATTAGAATTGTCACCGAAATGCAGGAAGAGATATTTGACCAGTGGCTGCAGGACCCCAGGAAAGTCTCAGTGAGGAATAAAAGGGGTAGGACTCATTTTCAGAACTGCTCTAAAAAAGGAGACAGTGACTGGGTGAGATGGTTGAAATTTGTATAAATGGGGTTCTCGAGTTGTCCAGGTCTGTGAAGAGAAATTCCAACAGTTTGGTAACCACAAGAGAAAGCACTGCAGAGCCATTCTGAATGCACTTAAACACATTGTTCAGGATACTGAACAGAGGTGATCAAGGGAGCCCTTGCCTTTACACTCTGCTTAGATACTCCTTACAGCCAGCAAAAGTTTTTATTTTTGTTCTAAAGCGTGCAGTCTACTCGTTTACTAACCCTAGAAGGTATTACTCATGTCCTCAGGTGGCTACCTTAAGATGGATGTTTCAAGGCACAGTTCTTCAGTCCTAACCCCCTAGACTTATACTAGAGCTTATACTACAATATCACTTACAATTGTGCAGTTTATCAGATAGGCCATGCAAACTTATTATATGCCATTTGAATCATTTCATGTAGCTATCATGGCTTGGCAAGTTTTGCTTGTACATCTATGCACAACTAAAATAAATAGATTATTTTATATATTTTCATTAACAACTTCCACCACTTTCATATACTATTTATATTTTCTTTGTCACCTATAGATTGATGGTGATGG